GTACAATATACATAGCAGATACAATATACATAGTAGATACAATATACAAAGTAGATAAAATATACCTAGTAGATACAATATACCTAGTAGATACAATATACATAGTAGGTACAATATACATAGTAGGTACAATATACAAAGTAGATACAATATACATAGATACAATATACATAGTAGGTACAATATACATAGTAGATAACATATACATAGTAGATACAATATAGATAGTAGATACAATAATACAGGTACATACAATATACATAGAAGATACCTGTATTATTGTATCTACCTGTCTATTGTATCTCCTATGTATATTGTATCTACTAGGGATGTTTTATCTACTTTGTATATTGTATCTACTATGTATATCGTATCTACCTGTATTATTGTATCTACTATCTATATTGTATCTACTATGTATCTTGTATCTACTATGTATATTGTTCCTACTATGTATATTTTATCTTCTATGGATATTTTATCTACTATGTTTATTGTATCTACTAGGTATTTTGTATCTACTATGTATATTTTATCTACTTTGTATGTTGTATCTACTATGTATATTTTATCTACTATGTATACTGTATCTACTATGTATATTTTATCTACTTTGTATACTGTATCTACTATGTATATTTTATCTACTTTGTATGTTGTATCTACTATGTATATTTTATCTACTATGTATTGTATCTACTATGTATATTGTAGATACAATATACATAGTAGATACAATATACATAGTAGATACAATACACATGTAGATACAATATACATAGAAGATACAATAGACAGGTAGATACAATAATACAGGTAGATACAATATACATAGAAGATACAATAGACAGGTAGATACAATACACAGGTAGATACCATACACACCGGTAGGTATAGCTTATACAGGTAGATACAATATACACAGTTAGGTACAATACTCAAAGGTAGATACAATAGACAGGTAGATACCATACACACAGGTAGGTATAACTTACATGTAGGTATATGCAATATACAGGTGGATATCATAAACAGGTAGATAAAATGAACAGGTAAAACCAGATTACAGGTAGATATCATACACACAGGTAGGTACAATACACACAGCTATTAACAACATACACAGGTAGATACAATATACTGATGGATACAATAAACACAGGTAGCTATAATTTACGCATGTAGATGCAATATACATAGGTTGCTATATTTTACACAGGTAAATACAATGTACACAGGTAGATATATTAATATACACATATATATACAAAACCACAGGAAGATGTAACATACACAGGTTTATACACAGGTATGTATCAAATAGGCATATATATATAGTTTACCTGTAACACAACTGATAAAGGTGTTCATATCTATTACATAACATCCCCCATCAAAAGATCACTTCTTTACAAGAATGAATAAGCTCAATACACAAGTTAGCCTAAAATACAGCATGCACTGTTACTCTTATTTTCCAACCATTGAGCCTGTCTAAACCAAACCTTGATTCGTGAGGAAAACTGTTCACAAATTGATAAGTATGTCACATATAAAGTCAAAAGTGGACCTTAACTAATTCAATAATGTCCCATATTATATGCAACCTGGCCTGATATAAACATAACCCAAACCTCTGACTAGCCAAGTCTTACTGTCAGTTCCATTCCTTATAGTGGTGTTGGTTTAGACAGATTTCACTGTCCATTCCGTTTTTACTGGTGTTCATCCACACGTTTTATTTTTTCCCTAAATATTTAGAAGGAATATCAATGAATAAAAATCAACAAATCCCTTCTTTCGTATTTCAACCCAAACCCACACCATCCCGCTGTGGTTAAATGAAATGCTTACCTGTTTCTAATCCGAAATTATTTTATATGTCGCGCGCAGGCACACAATACTTCCTGTGTTTACCGTTCCTCGTCTTAGATAAAATACGGGTGACCTAGACTTATTTTTTCCAGACAGTCTGCACAATTTACACCATTCTCCTTGTACTTAGTGGTAGCACGCCACAGTAGCTAAGGTGTCGATACAGTATAGTGACCAGAGAGTGAACTCGCCCTACCCTCCTTTTAGTTGGAGACTTTACCCGAGTTAAAAGTCCGAGGTACTTATCATCTCTCGGCGACACATATCACACCACTAATGTTGACAGAGGTGTTCCGAGCGACTTATCAAGGTTGTGCGTGCATTAAGGATACATATGCGTTAATAATTCGTTGAGTTGTAATCTGGATGATCAGAATTACGTAATTGTTATTCAACACTTATAGATCGTTTCGTTGCTAAAATAGGACAAAGTAGATGCTTATTTGTACATGAAATGACATAAATAAATCTTAATCTATAGTTATCGTGCGATTTCAACGCCACATTTACAGATTTAGACTCTAATTCTACACAAGTCAAGTCATGTGAAATTTAAGTTTAAGGCTTTTACAGTCGACTATAAAACATGAAAATAAGAAAAACGCTGTAACATTTAAGAGAAACATAACAAACATACATAATTAAGACACTTAGTTAGCACAGATATAAAATACATGTATAAATATTAAATTATTGTAAGCGAAATTAAAATATAAACCTGTGTGTGTTTCCAGAATATATGCTATAAGTTATAGTATGTTATATAAGATAGCATGCTTAAAAAAATATATCAGTTTATGACAGCAGAGACGTTTATATAACAATTGTTATACGTCTCTGATGACAGTGGGTCCACTCTATTTATCTGTATAATATATATAAGCGGTCATTGTCGGAATTTAATCATTGTAAATCTGATGATAACCATCACATATTGATCACTTCGAAACGTTCTTACAAGAAAATGGAGTTAAAGCTGAAACGTCAATACAAACGACACGAAGGTGACATGCTGGAAATGTTAAAAAAATCGAACCCCAAGAAGTTCCACAAACTATTTAAAAGCAAATCAAGTCAATGGGCAAATTCAAGTTTATCAAACGAAGATTTGTATACTTATTTTAAAAATCTAACAATGAGTAATAATAGTGACGAAGATGACAGCGAACCTAATATCGACGAGGCCATCTACGATGAATTAGACAAAGATATTGATAAAGATGAAATATTAAAAGTCATAAACAATCTAAAAAACAACAAAAGTTGCAGTGAGGACTTAATAATCAATGAAATTTTTATTAAAGGAAAAGATATTTTGTTGCCTTGTATGGAAAAATTGTTCAATGTGATTTTTAAGTCTGGGCATTTCCCAGAAGCATGGTGCAAAGCTTGTATTGTTCCAATTCACAAAAAGGGCAACTTAAATGACACCAATAATTATCGTGGCATTTCGTTAGTTAGTTGTTTTGGAAAAGTTTTTACGGGCGTTTTAAATACCAGAATATTAAATTGGGAAAAAAAGTATGGTATTCTAACTGACGCACAGTTTGGTTTCAGACCTGGAATGTCAACCACTGACGCCATTTTTGTTTTAACAACCCTTATAAATAAGTCCCTAAAAAAGAAAAAGCGTTTGTACTGCTGTTTTGTAGACTTTAAAAAAGCTTTTGATTTTGTTAATAGAAGCAAGTTATGGTGTAAAATGATCAATTGTGGTATCAGAGGTAAATTCCTTCAAATTTTGATTGACCTATATAATAATGTTAAATCATGTGTAAAGTATAATGGAGTCCTAAGTGATAGTTTTTGCAACAAGATTGGACTTTTACAGGGCGAAGTACTGTCACCAGTTTTATTTTCCTTATATGTTAATGATTTTGAGATCAATTTCATAAAAGACAATTGTCCAAGTGTAGAACTGCAACTTATAAACCTATTTTTGATAATGTATGCAGATGACATGGTGCTGCTATCAGAAACACCAGAAGGTCTCCAATCTATGCTGGACTCCCTACAGGATTATTGTAACACATGGGATCTGGAAGTCAACATATCTAAAACCAAAATAGTTGTTTTTAGAAATGGTGGTAACTTACGAAATAATGAAACGTGGTCTTATAAAGATACAAACATTGATATCGTGGATGAATTCAAATATCTAGGTA